TCAGGAGATATTGGAGACGATTAACAGGGTGGCTTTTGAAGAGGTGGAGGAAGCTTCCAATGACCCCAAAACCCCAGCTGATGAACCTACTTACTCACCATAATTGCAATTTCAAACTTGTCACTTTTACTTCTTTTGTTTTTGCTTGTTCCATTCGGATTTCAGTTTGTAACTCATAACTTTTGCTACTCTTTCCTGCTTTTGATTTTCGTCTATGGGAACTTGGCTCGTATTTTTCATATGATTGTGTGTGTTTGATGATGATTTAGTACCTAACTTATTTTTGCCTTGCATTATTTGAGCTCACTATTCCCTACGTAGTCTAGTGGGAGTATAGCAAAATGTTTTTTTCAATCTTTTGATAATGCCAAAAGGGGGAAAAAGACAAACTTCATGGCGGCTAAGGTGTTTACCAAGGAACTCACACATCGAAGGTACAAACTTTTGCTAAGTTCAGTTTTTAAAGTCTTTGTTAATTTTTCTTTTGCTCAGTTTTTTTTTTTTTTAAAAAAAAAAAAAAAAAAAAAAAAAAAAAAAAATACTTTTTAATATTTTTCTAAGTTCTTTAATTGTTTTTTTGTTTTCATGCCTTAATTTAAATTTTTGTTGCATGCCTGGATGATTTTATTTACCTAAGTTTGTCAATGTTTGTCATCATCAAAAAGGGGGAATTTGTTGAGCCTTTTGGTTTTGATGGACAAATTGACAAACTCGACTAATGAATGTTTTGAGTCTTTGGTGAATAAAGGATTCAAGCAAAGTTCGTTCCGGAGTAGGAACTTGGATGCGGAGTAGCATTCTTTAAAAAGCCTCGTGCAAATCTCACGTTCTAGTTTTAATTGTGAGCACTCAATAATATAAAGTCGGAAAGGAACTCAATGACTTATGTTAAAGACTACTGGAATAAAAGTTAGTTTTAAAAGATAATTTCTTAAAGAAAAGATAATTTGTAAAAGTTTTAATAAAGATAATTATCGAAGATAATTATCTAGTTGTTTTAATAAATAATAAATTTATCTTTTCAAATAAAATCTTTTTAAACAAACTTTTGATAATCTTTTAAATAAATATTTGATAAAGTTAGCAAGTGGTTTTTCTGTGAGAAAATCTTTTATACGGCTAATGGTTATCAAGTTGTTAGGATAGTGGTTTAATTAGATAAGGCTAGGAAACCTCTTCATGATCACAATCTGTCAAGATAACTCCACAAGTTGTTAGTGGGTTGTTGACATGTGGACGTGATTATGGTGGAGGTTAATGACTAAGCCTTCTCTATAAATACTCATGCAAACTATCTCAGAAAAACATAACTCTTAAGCATAAAAATTCCAGTAGCCATCTAATAACATAAAGAGAGTTATTTTCCTTCATATATTCTTGAGTGCAATAGGTATTTGTAATCACAGATTGTATACAAGTACTTTGGGGTTGGGATTGTGAGTTTGTAAGGTGAGGTTAAGGAAGCTTCGTTGCTGAAGTCTTCTGTGAGAGTTGGGAACAAGTTCCTAATTTGGGGAACTTGTTAACGGGTTTGAATCTTCACTTGTACAGAGTTTGATTACATAGTGGAAATTTAGAAAAGCCTATATCTTCTCTCGTCATTATTTCATTTAGTTAAATTCCGCAAAAAGTTTTTAGATTTCACCTCAAATACAATTCACCCCCCCTCTTGTATTAGCCAGTTAGACTTTCAATATGGCTGAGTACTAAAGTGATGTGTTCTTCGTCATTGTAGTTATCTAAATTGTGTGTTTAATATGCCTCTAATCTAATCGTAAAGGATTTGCCGCCTTAGTTTTAACTTGCATGGTTAACCAATACCAATTTAATGACCTATAATATACTCTCTTTTTATTTAAGATTAAGATAACCTTCTTTATTTAACCGTACATTTTTACTAATATACAAAGGCAAACGATAGTAGATACTTCTTCGTAAAATATTTCTAGATTTATCTCAATATATCAACTTTTTTAGTTAAAACTAATTTATAAATATATGTATTAAAGTTTTGCATAAGTAATTATATGTCAATCAAACTGTTGTATTTATTCCAAAATTGAGTAGTATGTTTGATTGCATACAATATTCGCATATATCTGATTCTACTAAGTGTAGTATTGTTGAATTTCACCCTTTCTTCCAGCCGCCCCGTCCTTAGCTTAGCCTTGTCTGATCCAACTTGGTCTCCATTATCATGCATTTTAATAAATGGTATAGTTTGTACTTGTATATTACTAAACTATATAGTGGAGTATAATTCTTTGTTATCCCCAACGATTTTATGATATATTGTACGTTCCTATAGCAGATTGACATTCTTCATAAGAGACATAAAGCGTATATTCTTATTTCAAAAAGTTAAGTGCTTATGATTTCATATTATGTTTGTTTTGAGCTTATTGGTTAGCTAGGTGTTTTAAAAGGAAACTAACAAGTTAGTTTATGACTTGTGACTGTAGAGCATGATTTGATAAGATCGAGCAAATTTGAAGTTACTTACAGTACAAGGGAATACGGAATATATTACTAAATTTTTATATGGTGCTTTCAGATTCGTGGACTATGTACTCATAATTCATCTACACGGTGCACCCAAAAAAAAAAAAAAAAAAAAAAAAAAAAAAAATCATCTACGCAGCAAGGTGCACATATGACAAGCTAGCATTTTATTTATTAATTTTTTTTTTTTTTAACTTTATGTTAGTGAAAATAAGCTAAGGATAGATTAAGGAGAACCCTAACTAAGCTACAGCTTTACTTTTACAAGTTTTTAATCTAGTATGTGTGATTAGGCACTTGAGAGTAAGGGAATAAAAGAATCCTTACCATCAAATTAAACATGCTCACTTAACAAGATACGGACTTCATACCTCTAAGATTTGAGGTAAGACCTTACTTACTAAGTGAGCCAAGAGCCTTGTTTAGAGTGACATACAAGCCATCACTTGGGTGCATGCATATTTTTTTTATATTATGGATGTATGGTATAAGAGTAAATTCAAGTTACTCAATATGAGTAACAAAATATGTTACTCAAGGGGTACCATTGTCTTTTCATATCTATCATTCAACTTTCTCTCTCCTCACTCCTCTTCTACCTCAACCATCACAGCCACCATAACCACCACCATCTTCACAGCCACCACCATCATTACTTCATCGCCGCTGAACTCGACCCATCTACGAATTGTCGAACTCGACCCATCATCAATTGAAGGAGCTTCAATGGAGGACATGCCCCTTCCCTTTGGAGTTGACCATGCCCTTAATTTCACCCTTCATTCCTAGGGTTTTCGTTTTTTTACTGACGTGGGTGGAGATCGGGGAAGGTGGAGATGGGGAAGTTTGAGTTTTGTTCCGCCGCGGCGTTGTGGGCTTGAGAAAGGACGAAGAAGAAGAGGTCGACGGGGGAAAAGAAGATCGGAGGTCGACGACGGAAAGAAGATCGAAGTGAGAGATGGTGACTGTGATGATGGTGGTGGCTGTAAGAAGGAGGAAGAAGCAATTCTTTACAATTTTGCCATTTGAGTAACACCATTTGTTACCCAAATTGAGTAACTGGGGCTAGCTCATGGTATAATTCGAATGTTATATGATATTGAATATTTATATTTTTTTATTAATAGTTTGCATTTAAATACATATGACCTATAATAATTGACTTAATTGGATAAATTTTATATATATAAATACACTCTCCGTTCTTTTTTGTTCTATTCACTTGCATTTGTGTGATTATGAAAATTTGTTATATAATATAGATACCACATCGAATCTTTAGAATTCTTATCTATATTTGGAGGATCCCATCGATCAATCGACATTGAAATAAGATTAACAAGATTTTACGTGATAATTTTTATTTTGTATATGACTAGTAACAAATGGTCAAACTTGACTCGATCGGCTATGAAACTTTCAAAAGCTATTTCTCAATAATTTAGAATCAGCAAACCATGACTCCTTAAAATTAAAATATAAAACAAAAACTTGAACATTGACTTTAGTGATATTATTTTTTAAAAAAACCTACTAAATGGAGGATGTTAATATTTTACACGTATTATTTGAAAGTTTATGCCATGAAAAAAGTACAATTGGCCTCAATTGCCCACGCCGCCCTGTATACTCACCCATCACTAATGATATTGCTAAAAAAGTTTTCAAAATTGGCCCCTTAAGTAGTCAATAATCAATATAGAATTGAACCCAACATGTGCTTATGTTGATATTCTAATTTGGTGGAGAGGTTTGTGCTCGGCTAGACACAAAAAAGTGTGTGCTTCATTATGTAGGGACACAGTTGCATGGAAATAGATTTTTCAATTTCAAAAACCTTCTATTTCTAGCTAATAGATTTGATACTCTCATCGTTAAAAAATACATTTTTTTTTCGTGATCCAGTACAAATTTGGAGTATCAATATCATTAATTTTGAGAAATTACTTCTTGGACTCATTTTGAAGTTTATATACAAGTATAATTTTTGGTGTAAGGAGAGATATAAAAGGCGATCGATGATGTGTAGATGAGAATTAATCTCATGTTTTATGTATTTCCTTTAAGTAATGGGTGGAGTAATCTATATTCATATACATACCTATTTCAGAAGAGAATATGACTACATACAAAACCTGTAAAAATCAATTCTATATTGGGTTTTATATGTGTCATTTATTATCCTTCTATTAGTATGAGATAAGCTAATAAGTGATACCAACTCAGTGACTCACATGTGAGTTCGTTATTTTTTTATTAGTTGGTCCATTAACTGAATGGTGGATTTAACTCATCTAACACAAACCACCACCACCACTAACAAAGAAACTATCATACTCTAGCTCAACAACTCAAATAGGGAGTATGATGAAAAAGCAAACAACAAATGCAAGGGCCAATTTAAAAATTGGATCCCCTTCATGTGATGGAAGGGGTGAATTACTGTTCTAAACTATATGATTATATAATCCCTCCTAAAAATCTCCTAAATCACAAATCCACTCTATTTCAATCATATTAAAGGTGGAAGATTCAAAGAAGAATACTTTGCCACTAATTTTTTGTCAAGTGTATCTCCCTTCCACTTCAAAGTTGATTGCCTTCTCAAGTTCTCATCACTTTAAAAGCACCTTTATTCTCCCATATATATATATATACATAGTTTTGCATTATTAGCCTCAACTCAAACTAAACACGAAAACATACCAATCCTATTTCTTTTATCATTATCTTTATTTTTTTGAGTATTATTATCGTTCTACATCTTCGTATTGTCTAATGGCTTCCTCCTCCCTTACATGCGAGTTAAAGATCATTGGAGCGGAAAACATACAAGCAAAACACAAGGGTAATCTATTCATTAGATGCTACCTTTCAGTAGGAAGCAACAATAGAAAAATTCAGGTTAACACAAATGAAATAAGTTCTGCTCATCAAAAAGATGATTACATCTTTTGGGATGACACTTTTTCACTAGAGTGCAATGGTTCAGAGGATTCAATCAATAATCTCAAGGAAGCAAGTGTGTTATTCGAGCTTAGGTGGCGAAACACCAAGGCTTTTCTAGGGAAGATTGGCGGGTCTCAGCTCCTAGCAACTGCTGAGATGTTTTGGAAGAATGTCTTTGATGCGCCGAAAATGGAATTTCAGAGGTGGGCTGTTATGACTGTCAATCAGGATGGTTATAAGTTGCTTAAAACTGTTGAAGACGGAGTTAAGCCACCGGCGTTACAGATAGCAATGAAGGTAGAAGTTCCGGTGGTGAGCCTGGTGTCGATGGAAGAGATGAGGAAGATGAGAAGAAGAGAGCGTATGAATGGATGGAAAGAGTGTGGGTGTAAATCTAATGAAGGGTGTTGCTCTTATTGTGTTGATAATGAGCTGCTTTTGATTGGTGCAACTTTAGATGGCTTTTAGCTATTGTTTGCACTTTCTTATTTTTGGGTTAGATGATTAGTACATGTATAGAATTACTAGTGAATCAATTTAGATGTTGATTTGGAAACAATCAATCAATGCAATTCTGCTATTATGCTCATATATATATATCATGGCTCTGATTTGCATATACTTCTTGAGTTCTTGTACTTGTGGAAAGCTAACTAATTTATTGGTGATACCACTACTACAACTAATCAATATTCTTCAACTATAAGATTGTTTAGATTTTAGGACTGCCCATTTAACATGTACCTCAGTAAGAAGTTGTGCCATTGGGCTAGCTAGCAAGACCATGTTGGGCCACATTATGATTCCAGAAATGGAGACCAAAGCCTGTTATGGTGTAGAGTAATTAGTAGTGTAGTACTCCGTACTTCCTAGCTCTTTCACCAAGTGAGCTTTAAAAAATAAAAAAACAGAGGAAGTATAACTCTGTTGTAAATTTGTAAAAAGAACTCCGTAAAATTACTTCTATTTGTTTTTGGGAAAGGTAATTGTGAAAACCCTAAAATTCCTAACCATCACATTAATGACTTTGAACAAGTAGAGTACACTGGCTCCTTCACTCACCAAAAGCTTCTGACTGATTGACTAAGAAAATCTTTACAGAATAAAATTTGAAGTTGATTAATAAAGCAATCCATCCATAATTTAAATATTTTAAAATACAGTAGCAGCTACTTAGAGTACATTACAAATTTCAAATTCATTTGAAAAATCAAATCATAAAATCCAGGAGAGAGAATAAAACTCATATGATCTCACCTTTTTCACTCATTCAGTCCTAGCTAAAAAAAAAAACAGAGGAGAGAGAAAGTAGTAGAAGATAGGAAAAAAAAAATGGCGGAAAGAGCAACAGCTGGTAAAAAATCTCACACTTCAACAGCTGATCTCCTTACTTGGACTGAAACTCCTTCTCCTCATTCTCCTGCTCCTTCCTCTGCACCTCGTTCTCACCAGGTACGGAGTAATATTTTTAATTGTGTGTTCGGTTAAATTTGAACTTATGTTTTTCGCGATATCGTATCATACTCTCGCGTGTAAGACCTAATTTGCAATTGATTTAGGGCTTTGGTGATTAATTGATTGAATGTGTTGTTTGAATTTTGTTTTCAGCCGTCGGATGCGGTGAGTAAGGTGTTGTTTGGTGGTCAGATCAGTGAGGAGGAAGCTGAGAGTCTTGCTAAGAGGTTTACGATCTGCTTGTTTTTCTCCATATTTATTACTTTTTTTTTTTTTGCCTTTTATTTGGTACTGTATATTCTTTGCTTATATTCCTTATAATATAATATTAGATTAATCTTAAACAAAACTATAATTGAAAAATGCATTAAAATAAAGTTATTATTATTGGAGGATTATTAATTTCCTAAACTCGGATTTTAAGTTAGATGTTGCTTAGATGTAGCAATGCCTCCAAAACCCCCACCAAATTATACAAATTAATTGGATATGAAAAATGGCTTAGTTAATGTACATTTTTTATTTTAAAATATTTGGATAAATGAAGCCAACTCTCTAAAGTGTAAGGCATGTTTCTTCTGTATACCTTTTGATGGATACCCGAGTAAAAGATGTCAAAGTCGTGAAAATCAAGTTCAGATGAGGGCTAATAAGTTTTGATAAGTTAAGTTCAAGGCCGATAAGGGCTACCTTAGTATAATCTACGATTTAAGTTGTAGAACACCCTCAATGTTATTACATGGAAGCATAGAAATCCATAGATTTAAAGTTGCTTTCATTAAGAAACTTCATGACCATGGCCATTGCTGTTAGCATAGAAGTCCTTCTTCTAAAAGCCTCCTGCATGTATGATAGACCTATGCATTAGTTCATGAACCTGTGTAGCCCATGTACAACAAAACTCCTACTTTGTATATAATGGTGAAGTAGTATGAATGAATAATGATTCAAGACTCGATTACATTGCTTCCAGCTGGCTATAAATATATAATGTGTGTAAGTTACATCCCATACCATGCGTTTCTTTTCGTATACACAAAACCCTGCCGTGCATATACCTAAGTTTCCAACCGATCAAAAGATGCCCAAATACGACATTTCAAGTTTGTTGATATCTTGTCTATATCCTCCATTTCTGGTTGACTCAATATGTCTTCCAAAGAGGACTAACTGTAACGTTGATGGAGGAGCTCAAATTGCATCCAAAAGCTAGTTGATAGGTGTTCCAAAATTACCAAACCTTCCTGTAGAATTATAAATGCTATATACTCATTGGGTAGTAAGTGAAGCTAGATGATGATGCATAACTGTAATCTTGGCTGTTCATCATTTTGGCTATGCAGATCTAGCTACATGACCTACATCTTTCTTGTTTTGTTAATTAACCTTGTGTCAATCAAGACATTGTCTTCAAATTACAGAATGCCCAGCCCAAATTTTATTAGCTTATTACATGGACTATGCTGACATAGCTACATTATTCTGGTTATGTTCAATATCTTGTATGATCCAAATTCAGCGGCTTTTTTTCTTTTTCATATTTTTATAAAATAATCCTGCCCTTTTCATACTAGTGCTTGAGTCTGGACTAATTGTTACTTGTATGAGACTGATAAATAATTCTTGAGAACATATGCATCATTTGGTTCTCTGCATAACTGACCTATTCGTTTGCTACTTCAGGAAGCCTTGTTCTGGATATAAAATGAAGGAGATGACTGGAAGTGGAATATTTGCTGGGTCTGAAGATGATATTACAGCAGAATCTGGGAGTGCTAATCCCAATTCGAATAAAACTGGATTGAGAGTTTATCAGGTTTATTTTCATTAATATACTTCGTACAAAGTATATTTTTTTTGTAATGATACACCGGGTCAACTCTTGACCCTTTCTCTTGTAACTGCCAATTGCAGCAAGCTGTCAATGGAATTAGCCAGATTTCTTTTAGTGTCGACGAAAGTGTGACGCCCAAGAAGCCTACGTCTCTGCCAGAGGTAGCAAAGCAACGTGAATTGAGTGGCACTCTAGAAGCTGAGGCAGACTCAAAGATCAAAAAGGGACTGTCAGATGCCAAGTGCAAGGAACTCAGTGGAAATGACATTTTTGGCCCACCTCCGGAAAATCTTCCTCGATCATTGGCTGTTGCACGTTCATTGGAGTCAAAAGAAAAGGACATGGGTGAGCCAGCACCACGAACTGTCCGGACATCTGTTAGAGTTTCCAACGTGAGTATACTAAGTTTTTAAGAGAGTGACTCAATCTTTTCTATTTTCTGGCTGTACTAAGCCCCTTATGTTGTTCTGTTTGTGTGGTCAGCAATTCGGGATCACTTGTTTAAATATAACCTTTATTGTGCATTGTCTTGAGTTTGCTATCTGTGTTTGGAGGACAATGATTGTAGAAAGGTAGGCTTTAGAGGACCGTAACAGAGAACATTTGAATATGAAATATATATGCGTGTTAATTGAATTGCCTGATTAGTGACTACTATACTGATAAACTTGACAAAGGTTTTTCAAAGGATAAAAGTTTTGTAGCTGTAAGTCTCAAGTATTGTCATCCATTTTAGTATTTGACAAGTTTTCTTGCAAAGCTGATCATTAACATAATCTCTTTTTGTAGCCTGCTGGAGGACAGAGTAATATTATGTTTGGTGACGATCCTGCTGTCAAGTCAACAAGGAAGCTTCACAACCAGAAGTTCCAAGAGCTGACAGGTAACGACATCTTTAAGGGGGATGCTCCTGCAGAGTCAGCAGAGAAGCATCTCAGCAAGGCTAAGCTGAGAGAGATGAGTGGAAGCAATATATTTGCTGAGGGAGAGAAAGTAGAACCCCGAGATTATTTTGGTGGTGTGCGCAAGCCTCCTGGTGGAGAAAGTAGCATTAGTTTAGTTTAAGATTCTGTGTTAATCAGTAATCATGGCTATATATTGACCAACTGTTATCTGATAGGACTGGCAAGAGCTCTTCCTGCCTTTTGTGCAGCGCCCCTTGAGGGGTTTAGCTAGCTAGCTAACCAACACGGTAGTAGGTTTTGACTTTGTACCCTGAATAAATTAGCTTAAGACTTGCCATGTAATGGCATTATGTTAATTTTTAGGATTTCTGCATGTTTTGCAGTTATTTTAGCAGGACTTCATCAGATCATTTCATGTATGACTATATACGTTTACCTTGAGTGCTTGCTGTTTGAGTGCTGTATTCTGATTACTAAATGGTTGCTCACCATCTATCCCTGTGATAACCTATGCAGTTTTACAATTTGATTTTCGGTCACCAGGAAATTAGCTTTGAATATCACAAACATTTATGGTCATTTCAACAATAATAACAATGTTATGTTTCATTAGAATTTCTTGTGAGTTCCATTAAAGAATTTTATGATAAAATATAAATTATAACTTAATTAAAAAATCGGTCTATAGTAGCTTAGTACTACTATATAGACCTAGTATTATTTTGTAATGAATATAGACCTCAAAATATTACTGTTTGATTTGGGCCGATGCATAGAGGCAGGTAAGCTCAAACAGTCAAACTCAACCTTCTCTTGCCTGATGTACATTGGTCTCAGATTCTCAATTGGACTAGAAGTTTAAAACCCATATACTCAATCTTTTATTCAACCTGATTTTGGAAGTACAATAAAACAGCAAAATCCAACCATAACAGTGGCTAGTACAAAACATAAAGTCTCAACCGGAGCAATCACCATCCTCAGGTAGATGTTTAAGCATTCTCAGAACCAACCAGCTCAATCAGCATTTTCTCGTAATCTCCACGAGTGTCCTTAGCAATAGCATGATCAAGGGGAACGCTGTTTCTGCGATAATACTCTTCCTTGATGCGCTGCATGTCCACTTCAGCCCGGGTGGTGACAACTCTTGTTAGAGCTGATTCATCTGTTCCCATCTTGTTTATAGCAAGACGAAGGAGCTTCTCAAAGTATTTCTCAGGGCAGGTCAGGCACTTGACAGTTGCCCTTAGCAACTTCAAGTAATCATCCTTAGGATCCTCCTTAAGATCCTGCAGATAAAACGATCTTAGATTTAAGAACAGCAATAATAACATAATAGTAGCAACACTGTAAGACAATACTACCTTGGTAATAGCATGACCATACTCATTGTTGTAGGTGTTGAGTGTGGCACTGAGCTGTGCTGTGCTCCTTGTAGCGATGATTCTAATGAGATCGTCATCAGCATAAGCCTTGTCTGAGATCTTCTCATGAAGTATCTTAGCCTCTGATTTTGCCAGATGTGTGTTAACCTCCGGTCCTTCATATCTGAACGAGGTCAGCAGAGCAACCAGGAGCTGCAAAAGATGAATGAAATGCTTCAATTTAGCAGACCTTTACTCATAAATACATGATTGCAGCCAAAATTACCATCACTTTTTCTAATATGCTATCCAAATTTGAAGTACTTCTTCCTAGACAACTGTAGCCAAAACTTCTTGTTACAACATACAAGCATCAAATGTAGTTCATGAGATTCAAGTTTAAGAAAGACATAGTTATGGCTATGATATAAAACTTCATGAAAAATAAGTATGACATTTTGTTCAATTCCTTAAAACTGACTCAATCAAATGCAGGATATATGGATAAATAATAATCAACTGCACCTTGCGGAAGTCACCAGTGGTGTGCTGAGCCACATCTTCTTCAATCGATTTCTTGTAACGAGCATGGTAGGCTCGCCTAGCATTAAAGAGATCCTCTGAAGAACGTGTACAAGCAACTTCAATGAGAACCCAGTTGCTGGAAGTGAACTTCTTAGTAGCTTCATTAGCCAAAAATGCATCGCGCTCTGGAGGATCCAGGGTAAACAAATGTACTGCCCTCTGTATCATTCAAACAAACATTTTGCTTCATACTTTCTTCTAACATATTGTTTTACAGACCCAAGTCACGAAACTCATACAAGAGAAACTAATATCACCAACTATACACGATCTTTAGTTGACATGCAAGATAATGATGTAAACGAGATTGATCATAGGTACACCAGACCGTACCAGGCCGACTTTAAGACTTTAAACAATTTCTTCGTGATCAAAATCGAACTTTATGTCCTCTAATACAGATCAAAACAACAATGGATCATATATACATATCACCATCAATTTGTATGCAAAACCCAAATTTATTAATCATCATTGTCATATAAATCAAATAAAATAAATAAATCACCTCAAAGTCACTAGTAAGCTCTTTGTCGAGAGTTTTAAGGAGATCTTCACCGTAGGTTTCCTGGTAAAACTCACGGATCAACTTGCGTTGGTACCCATTCCTATGAGCCAATATTGTTATGATCAATTCCTCATTCGTTCCCCACCCTGCAACAATATAATATAATCATTTCACATTCCCCATCAATGAATCCATCTACATATCGTAGACGGGATTTGATGACCAAAGGCCAGGGTTCGGATATTACCACAAAAACTTTAACCAACTAAACTAATTAACAACATCGTCGAAAACAAAAATAATAATAATCAATAAAGATTAAGAAAATAGACCTGAAAAGGCTTTGTGTAGTTGTTCAACATCCTCAGCAACATCAGGGAGAGCAGCAGGAACAGAAAGGGTGGCCATTTTTGTTGAGATCTTAGTTTTATTTTTTTGGTGATTTGAATGATGAAATGTGGATCTCCTGAGATGTTGACTGTTTTTGATATGTTATATATATAGGGAAAATAAAGGGGATGAATGTAGGGATATTCAATCAATTTTTTAAGAAAAATAATTTATTACAGAAATGAATGATGCGATTGATATTAATTTTTGTACAAAATTGTAACGATCAGACACCTCCGCAATTTCGCAGGGATTGCTTTACTCGGTTTGGGTTTGTCTAATTGTCATGTTAAAGTCTTTACATTTTTATTGCACTGCTTGACGTGGTGATCACTGCTAACAGATCACACCTTTTTAGGCACCTCTTTTATTCTTTTCTTTTTTGTAAATGTATTAAATTATTAATTACTAAGTAGCAATAATATACTTTTGCTTTACTAAATAATTGTAATTTGTAAATTATGATTTTACCATGAAAAGAAAGATTTGTTTACGACTTTATTGAGTGTAATATTGCAATCTGTATTTTTTAAATGGTTTTTCATATCAACACGTAAAACATCTAACTATCGTTTTGACGGTAAGCTCGTCTTTGAATGAATAAATAAATCCCAACTTAAGAACTAAATTCCTTGTCCTTCCATGCGCTTAATATAAGGAACTATAATATGAGTACTAGATAATATTGTTTAACTATTTCATAAATCATAATGAACCAAAAATAATTGTTAATTTACCAAAAAATAAAATAAAAAAAATTGATTCGACTCCACTAGGGATCGAACCCAGAATCTCTGGTTTCGTAGACCAGCGCCTTATCCATTGGGCCATGGAGTCATATTGTAATTATAAATCCCGATTTAATTTTAGACAACTTTGTTATTCGATAACTTTAGAATGAAGCTAAATTAGCTACTGTAATACAGAAAATCTGATGAAGACTTGCCACCTAATCCTTCCTTTCGGTTGCGGTCTCAGGGTTTGGGTTTGGGCTTCTCATTTAACTAAAAATTAAAAAAAAAAATAAAGAAAGAAAAGAAATATAATAAGTCAATCTCATTTGACAATCAGATAATAGACAAATTTTCCAATTTTTGGAACAATTTATCCATTGTATTTTTCTCATCACTTTGCTGTTAGATGATCCTGTGAGATGTTTGTTTTGGGTATTTGATGATTGGTAATTTCTGGTTAAACAAATGAAATGGGAAAGCAACGATCTTTTCGTAGTAAAGCAGTAAATCTTGTCTCAGACCTCACCACTGTCCTCCTTAACCCCATTTCTGATAAAATCTCCAAGAATCCCCCTTCTCCTCCTGTATGTCTCTTTCTTTCTCTGTTTCTCTTGTTTTTTGTTGTAATTCTTGGTTTTTTATGATTTATTGAAATTTTTGTGCAATTTCATTTCATGGGTTTTATGTTATTTGAGCTTTATTTGAAGCAATTTCATGGGTTTTATTGTTTGATTTGAGTTTAATTTGATGGGTTTGATGGTACTTGAGCTGAAGTTGAAGCAATTTCTATGTACCCATTTCATAAATTCTTGTATTTTTGTTGTTTTAATGCTTTTAGGGTTTATCTTAATGTTAATTAGGATTGTGGGTTTTTGTTTAAATGTGCATTGATTTATTTTATTTTATTTTTATTTAGGAGAATAATGATGTTGACTCAGGGCAAAGTCAGCTTGAATCAATTTGTGAGGAGGGTTCTGTAACTTCAGTTGATGGACCTGATACCTCATCTTTCACTGCCTTCCTTTATTCTCTTTTAAAAGATGATTACTTTAGTGCCGAAAGAGATGACGGGCCGCAGAATAATAATATAGAACCTGTAAAAGATGAATCTGAACCTGAAATTGAAATTAAGCCTGAACATGTAAAGGCGGAACCAGAAAATGTGAGTATAGTGAGAGAGAGTGGTGGAAGGAGAGGGTTGATTTCTAAGGGGAGACAGTCTATTGGTAAAGCTATGAATTATGCTGCCAAATTAGCATGGTTCCGGAATCAAGCATCAGAGAGAATGCCCAAGTCTGAAGCTAAAACTGATGGTAAAGATGGAAGTCAGGATGGAGGAAATATAAGGCTAATGGAGAGTGTAGCTGAACTCCCAGACATGTCTGATAAGTCATTGCTTCTTTCGCAGAAAACCCGGATCATACTATATGCTTCCCTTCCATCACTTGTCAAGGGGAGGAAATGGGTGTTGCTCTACAGGTGTTGGATCAGTCCTAATGCATTTAGATTTTGGTTTCTGAAAATTTGTTTGGTTCACTGTCTAGTGTTTGATGATATGTTTTTTGACTGTTCTATTGTGTCCTGCAGCACGTGGAAGCATGGCATATCACTCTCAACCCTGTACCGGAAAAGCATGCTCTGCTCTGGCTTGAGCCTGCTGGTATCTTCTTTTCCACTTTATATTTACCTATCTCTATTGTAAGAAATACTATTAGTAAACAAGAACTGAAGAACCTTTATACCCCGTTTTTTACAATACAAGCCTAAAACTCTTCCCAATAAATCCTGTGTAAGGTGGACTTACGTTAATTTTATTGTAAAACGATCAATTTAAGGGTAACTTTAACAATTTTTATAGTAACTTTAACCCCGTTAAGGGTAACGTTTAAATTGTATAAGTTTGATTGTATTTTAATGTGTAATTTCTAATAAAATCATGCTTTGAAGGCTAATATGAGTAATCTAATACATTATAAATATTTTGTAAGGGTAAAATTTTTGTTATAAAAATGGTAACTTTTGTAGTATAAAAGGGTAACTTTAAATATTTTTAGGGTAATTTTAACCCGTCTTACAATAACTTAATGAAAGTCCGCCTTAATCAAGAATTTGTGAACTCTTCCACTCATTCCATTGCCTCGGAAAATTGATTGTGAACCAAAGATATTCATCTTACAATTTGCATTGTGAATGTTTGTGTAAAAAGGACAAAGTTCAGTCTGACTTTGTTTCAAATCTGTGCCGTGTTCTTTTTATGGAAGTAGTTTTGCTTTTGAACAGTCCTTGAATTGTAAGAATGATTCATCTAATGTGAAATATTGATTGGACAATTGAAATTTGATATGTTTCTGATGATGGTTTTCAGCCTTTTAGCTCATGAAATTGCATTCGCTATATTTGAGTAACTGTTTCTGGTGAACATTTGGACATAAACTCATCCACACAAACACTTTTTCACTAGCCTGTTGCATCTTATGTAACTTCAGGAGTGTTTCTTATCATCTTGCTCTTTGAAAACTTAGTTTTCATCATGATCTGGGGGTATTGGACAGGTGGTTGGTGATCGAGGTGGTGCAGTTTTTGGCGGCTTGGTTGAGGCGCCTCTTAAACCTTCTAAAAGCAGGAGGTATCAGGTGAGTTTGACCCGTAGACTTTCTTAAGCTCTTGGTTTTGATTTCTGCAACGCCAGCCTAATTCCTCTATGCATACTCAGGGGTCAAATAGCACATTTCTTTTTACCGATGTACCTGGCCAGCCGATTATATATCGTCCCACAGGTACCAATATTGAAGCTGTGCTGCATATTTAAAGTACTTCATTGGACTATATCAGTATGTATTTAGGAATTCAGTGCTAAGTTACCATGACAGATGGCTTATGTTTAAGTCACTTTTAGAAAAAAGTTCACTGCTATCTTGCTTTTACTTATAAACTAAAGTTAGGTTGTAGCTATTATTTGGAGCACTGTTCTTGTGCATTAAAAATCTGTCTGGTTATCAACATGTCATTTTATGCAATTTTCTTTTTAGTGGATTAAGATGAAATATTTCGTGTCTGCAGGTGTAAATCGATATTATACAGTGTGTTCTCCTGATTTCCTAGCAATGGGTGGTGGTCGTCACTTTGCACTCTACCTTGACAGTGATCTGTAAGTTACATCTCATGTTGACAAGTGACGTAAAAAAGTAATGTGGATTAGAGGACCTATCGGCCAAGGGCCTTCGAACACGAGGAAAAAAAAGTCTTGATACCAGTCAAAAGATATTATTCCATTGAATACTGAATATATAATAACTCCAATTTCTTGCTATACTTGAACAGATTAAATGGATCAAGTGCAGCGTCTGACACCTATGGGAATTCTTGCCTTGCTCTTTCCGAAGACTTTGTGGTGAAAGAAGTTGAGGTAATATTTGACTTTTCCTAGATACTCTTATTTGTTCCATTCATGTCCCTGTTATATGTTCAAGTTTCATGGTGAAGTTCGAGTTTTGGAATGAAAGTATGAAACCAAGACATTGATTGACCGCTTCTACCTTTTACAGTTATGGGGCTTTGTAAATGCTTCGAGGTACGAGGAAATTCTTGCTTTAAGTCAGAATGAGCTACCTGGTATTTGTAGATGGTGACTTGTAAACAGTTAATAATACCGGAGCAATTAAGCTTCTGGAATCACGATTTTGCCAGGTTGTAGGTGCTGTTTTAACTAACGCGTGAATGCCCAACATTGTATATATTCAACTGTATCATCTACTGTTTTACCATGACAATGGGAAGAAACCTTAAGCTACTGCTTTTGTACATAAATATAAAGTTGTATGTATAGAGTACCAGCAAAATTTCTGCTGTGGGATTACTTGATTTAGATTAGTAAGATTTTCGCCAATGTCCTTATTTCTCTTCAGGATTTCAAATGAGTTAAGCTAGCTATCTTGTAGGACTTACGTGATGTGAAGTGGGATTACTTGATTTAGATTAGTAAGATTTTCGCTAATGTCCTTATTTCTCTTCAGGATTTCAAATGAGTTAAGCTAGCTATCTTATAGGACTTACGTGATGTGAAAAAGTTGCCACGCACTTACTTTTTCCTCTAAGGCTCTGTTTACTTCACCTTAAAAAAAAATATTAAGTAAAAATAATTTCAGTTCAGTAAAAATAAATTCAGTAAAAATAATTTGAGTTCAGTAAAGATAAGTTTAGTTCAGTAAAATTTAGTAACTATAAAGAAGAAATATAATAGAAAATCAGTAAAAATAATTTCAGTTCATCAAAAATAGTTTCAGTTCAATAAAAATAATTTCAGTTCAGTAAAAATAATTTCAGTTTAGTAAAATTAAGATAAATAAACGAGGCCTAATTTAACACAAACTCTGTTGGCCTACGATTTTTATTTACGCTACTCATTTCATATCTTTATGCGACGGCTTTTCGTTTCTACCTATTTTCTCCTTCCAATAGACATTCGTTAAAGGTATGGATGCCTAGTTATCATCGTGATGGACTTCATCTACTCATCACATCCAGATTGTACAAGTATATTGCAACTGAATCCTAATAATCAAATAGTACAAATGGGGAAAGAAATTGTTCACAAAAAAATATAGAACACTACTTTCGACCGAGTGAACATATAAATTATCAACCATGGTATCATTTGAGAAGTGTGATATACTTCGTGCTTGCTTTGTCTAACTCGATAGTAATCTTGAACTTACAATGTTAAAGGTAACACTACACACGAAAGCACCTATGATCTAAACACATTCAGAAATTCTAAACAAGTGATTTAAGCTTCAATTACTTCGGCTTATTTCTAAAACTGGTAGCAGAGCAACGACATATTCCAAGGAACTGTATTCATTATTCAAGGTTACAAGCAGCTAAAAATGATATAACTAAGGGATCTGAGGAGAAAGGGATCCTAAAAGACCGATTTCAGCCAAAACAAAAGGGCCACTATAACAAAAGTACAGAACAAATTATCAAAGAAAATCATTCTCAAATCAGAATTAATCTTTTGCGCCATTTGAAGTTAATAGAAACAAGGAATGCTCCACCCTTTTTCCCGAGCAACCCAAAGTCCATGCAAAATATCCTCTGGAAACAAGGCGCCATGAGATTGCTTCTCAAGAGAAAATGCACCAGCGACCAGAGTCCTCAATTTGACAGCTTTGGCAGTCTTTGTTAATGACTCCGTCTTGATCTCTCAACGGATGACAGAAAGACTGGAATAACATTTGTTTACAGCTTCTTGCTAGTAAGCAGCTTCATGAACCCCAAGAGCAGCACGACCAGATGGATCAAGGTTTTTCGACCATGCAGCATCCCACTCCACTGCTTTAGCAGTACTGCAGGCAACACTTGGACCACCTGGAACAGTTTGTCTAGCAGCATTCTGCTCAAACAGAACCATCAAAAGACATTTAGAATGATCATATATAAATAATTATCACAGAGACCAGGGCTAAACATGGATGAGGACAACACGGGAAAACAGAAAACAGAAGTGAGGAGTCAATCAACACTAGATAGTAACTAAACTATAAACATGCCCAAATCCACAATTGAGAGAAGGCCAAAAGAGGTTAATTATCCTAACCTTTGGAAATAATTTTTCAAAAATCGCCCTGTAATAATACCCTTCTTTAGTTGTTGGAGTATTTTCAGGGTAAATAAAATTCGCATTTGCCAACATTGAATCCGTAACCTGAAAAGGTTCATTGCCAAAGGTTATTAACAAGTGAGATATTGAATAGAGTAGGCAGAGGCCCAAATCAATGAAATTGAAGGCTTTAATCACCATAATCGAGACTCATACATGTTTGCTAGCATGATCCTTCAAGCCATCAATCCAACTGTATCCCACTCCATCACTGAACTGTTCCTTTTGCCGGTACAATATGTGCTAAAGCCAAAATTGCAAGAATATAATCATCAATTTCTTTGGTGCCCATAAATCAGTATGATCACAAATTTTTCAAGAAAAGACCCCTATAAAAATCTTGGAAGTTGGAACGAATGTCCTACTGACCCATTGACTCAAAAGGTACAATAAATATAGCCAAAGTAGCAACGCACCTTGGGCAGATACGGTTTCTTTTCATCATCAAAAGCATTCCGTAAAATCCACTTCTCAATCCTCCCTTGATCACGTTTTATCTGCAAATTTTGTTAACATATATGAAAATGCATATTAAATTTCACCCTTACGAATTTTCAAAATTATATCACAATGAAACCTTTTATTCCTAATATATCCATCCAATACAAGGTTTCATTGTGCAATATATGTTAAAAAGCACATGCATTGCTCTTATGATTGGTTCATACAGGAAGATTTTTAGCCAGATAAAACAGTTACTGGGGAATTTTTTTTACTAAAGCAATATGTAAGAAGTAAGAGCATATAGTTTCAACACTCTTATCCATTTCCCCTTCCCATAATCCAGCCTCAAAAATTAGAAAGGGAAAACAACAAAATTGCAACAGGTGCATCAACAGTGAGCAATTCATTATCAATCTCAAGGAGGCTTACTTGAGCAGTAGTAAAGTATATTGGCAGCAGAAATTGACATTAGTTGATGTTTTCATAGAACAGTAAGAAATATGTATAAGAAATTTTCAGTTACCATTTTCCACTCTGGATCAATACTCATTGCAACATTAATAAATTCTTTATCCAGAAAAGGAACTCGTGCTTCAACACCCCAGGCTGATGTTGCCTTATTGGCTCTCAGGCAATCATACAGATGGAGAGCTTTAATCTGAACAATACAAACACCAGATCAAAGACATGATCAAAACAATGTAATGAACAGAAAAGATTCACAGCCAAGGAATACCTTTCTGCATGTTTCCTCATGGAGTTCCTTCTTGTTAGGTGCCTTGTGGAAATACAAGTAACCACCGAAAATTTCATCAGATCCTTCACCAGAGAGAACCATCTTTACTCCAAGGGATTTGATTTTGCGAGACATCAAAAACATAGGGGTGCTGGCTCTGATAGTTGTAACGTCATAGGTTTCTATATGATATATAACCTCTTCAAGTGCATCTATGCCTTCCTAAATTTGAGAAGGAAAACTTTAGTTGTCTAGGGTATATAGAGTGAAACTTGACTTAATCTTATATCTAAATCAGGTGAATTCGTAAGAAGAAAGTACCTGAACAGTGAAAGTAAGCTCATGATGACGAGTTTTAAGATAATCAGCAACCTCTCTTGCAGCTGTGAGATCCGGAGAACCCTGAGTAGCAAAAGATGAGTTTAGTTCCAAGATTCCAGACTGACTAAAGCAAAGATCAGCTTTATTTACACATCTGGTCTACGCACAGACACAATCATGCATATCCAAGTTTAAAATGCACTGCTACCAAATGTCACTACTTCAGTATTTTAATATCCCCATAATATAATTGGATTTAAATCAATTTATCTAAGAAAAACCTAGGTATTTAGGAACATAACGTCATAGACACTTGAAATATCCAGAAAAACAAATTTTATGAGAACCAACTATCTAGACTCCCCCATGGAAGCCAATTTCACCAGACCCAAGATGAATAGTTATGCAGTTTATGCTACATTGCTACGAGTGATTGTAACAAAGAGAAAGCTGTGTCAAAATTTTCTGAGTTGTATAATTAACGGACATAGTAATTTGACTTAAGCAAGCACTACTGAAAGAGATGAACTGTTGATATCTGAAGTACAAAGGCATACGTACCTTCAAACCAATGCAAAAGGAATGCAACTGTGAACCCCATTGGTATGCTCCTTCCATTTCTTCCAAGTGACGTGATGCTACAGCAGCAACAAGAGATGAATCCAGTCCACCCGACAGAAGTACACCAAATGGGACATCTGTCATTAATCTCTTAAGAACAGACTGTATAAAATTAAAAGAGGGGGTTAACAAATCAGAATGTAAATTTATTACAAGATCTAAGTATATCATAAACCAGACAGGAAAAAGAAATCTAACAAATACAAAAAAAAAAGGCTGTGTAGTAAAGTGAGGGACAAAGGAAAAAAGTCGAGATATTAAGTACTGCTACAAATAGAGAATAGTCAATTAACATTTTTAATATACCTTTTCAAAAGCTTCACGTAAAACTATTGGATCATATGGAGCTGAAGGTATCTTCTCTGAGAACCATGGTGGGTTGTACCACCTTCTTAACTCGCCTGCAACGCGTAAAATGAAACAGAAATAAAATCCGTTTATCCCTAATCTTTAAATTTGAATCACATCTAGCCAAGATAGTCTACGAACTAGATAATAGCATACCCTGTTTGCTTGAATATATATGTCCTGGGGGAAAAGTGATAAATCGTTCACAATCATCACTTAAGGCCTTCATCTCTGAAGCAAACCAAATGGACCCTGCAAAAAAAAAAAAAAAAAAAAAAAAAAAAAAAAAGGTTTTTATTGTAAACAAAACTCATGACTATGAAAGATAAAGTATCTGTAGCTACTGCTAAGGGAGGACAACAGAACACAAAGGTCAACACCCAAAAGACTCGTAATAGTCAATATTCTTGAGAGAAAAAGCAATCATAGAATAGCTTGCCCAAAAATGCACATGAATGACAGCTACCTCACATTCTAAGCTACTCCATTTCTTCCCTATTGGCCAAGAAGAAGCTTAATATATAAGGGAAAACGCCTAAGTACATTAGCACATCAAAAAAAAAAAAAAAAAAAAAAAATTGGAGCAAATGATCAGACCATCATGCTATATTGCAGTATCACACAATTAAAACATCATAACAAAGTGGAGGTTAAAGCTTTGAATTTAAAGACATTAAAGCAATCAGCAAAGCATCATAAGATTGCATCACCACCAAATGAAACATATACTATAATGTGGCGTACCATCAGGACCCCAACCCATGTACAGTGGAGTAATTCCAACACCATCACGAGCAGCAATGAAGCTTTTATCACGTGTATCAAGAAGTACAAAGGAGAACATCCCATCGAGCATATTCACAAACTCTTCCCCATATTCTTCATACTGCCAAAGAAGAAAAAAAATAATTAAAAGGAGCTCACGTTTAAGTAAGGATCCAATGTCCCACAACCAAGTATTCTCAAATTAAATTTGGTGAGTATTAGTATGGTAAACAAAAAGAAAGAGTACATAACATTAAGGTACTTACAAGGTGAGCAATTACTTCACAATCACTACCAGTGCGAAACTCATGCGACTTAAGCTTCAGCTCTTCTCGTAACTGTTTGTGGTTGTATATCTCTCCATTGACCTGACAATGATAAATAATCCGTGAATCATGAGGCTGAGTTTATTATGCTTAAATGTGTAATTTGCAACTAATAGTTGATAATCCATGCATCCTGATGCTGGGTTTCAGTAACTAACAACAAAGAAGATTAATATGCTTGGATGCATACTTTGCATCTAACAGTAAACAATATATACAAGCAACAACATATTACAGATTACAGATGAAGAGAATGAAACAGAAATATTGTCTCTTAGTAATAAACTTCACATTATTCCCATAAAGGCAATAATACGTGAAATAATCATCCTTGGCTCTGATATATATATATATATATATTAAAAAAAATGGAAAGTTAAATTACTGTGACAACAATGGTCTTGTCCTCGTTATAAAGTGGCTGATCTCCCGAAGTGGGATCAACAATAGCTAACCGCTGATGAGCAAGGTAACAATTCTCAAAACAGTGTATGCCACTCCAGTCAGGGCCTCTATGGCGTAACCTATCATCAACAGAAGACTAACAATCAGGCAAAGTTATACACTGAATATATTGTCCTCGTCACACAAAGAAAGATATGATGAATAGGTAACAAGTTCATGATATACTATGTACAAACACCACTCTTTCTTGACTAAACCATCGCATCTCACACAAAATAGGCATAAAACAGAACAGACATTAGTGCGAAAAAACAGATACCCAAAAGTACTATTCCCTCCCTTAGATAGCCTCATTTCTCCTAAAACTCTTGTCCCATTTAAAAAGCCTCAGTTCTCAATTTGGAGGGGGTTTGTCATCCCTAATTTCTGTTATTAATCATTTTGAATCAACAAAGCCCTCTAACCCCTGTATATTTGATCATGTGTAGTATGTAGATTTTAAGAGCTGGTTACATAAATAACTTGAGTATTTCTAGCATAGGTTGATTGATTTGAGGGGTATGGTAACAATTCCCGAGCAAAGATAATTTATTCAACTCACTTATTACCCTCTCCAACTCACCAGTGACAAATTGTGTTACTTTCGTCAGTCTCCCTTCTCTATAACTCATTTGAATCCATTCTATTCTATTGTAATAACCAACGATGTACTTGTATAAAAGTAATGGTTATCATTACCCTTTCCCTCCTTCACTGGATTCCATTCCATCCTATATCCTTTAACCATACCAAACACACCCTATAGGTGTATTTTAATCAACAAACCAGAATTATCTTATCTAAACAATCTGAAATAAGCTCAAAAGAATAAAAACAAGGCGCATACACTCTCAATTGGTCTCACGAGTGATGTTCTTGTACTTCAACGAACCTCTCTCACAATCATTTTCATTTACATGATCCATTTCACTTCTATCTCACCTCGTCAACTTCACTGCCAAACATTTCTTCCTTATCCGAGTTTCTCACAATTTGGAATAGATATATGCCAATTCAAAACAATCCAATTTCACTTATAAATCATAATTCATGAACATCTTAATTCTTAATAATCTCCAGAAACAATTTAACAAAATGTCACATACATTCAACATTATTATCACGTAAAAAATAACAAAATCATCCTTAGTGCATTACATTGCAATTAAAAACACATAAACAACCTATAAACACCAAAAAAAAAAAAAAGAAAAAATAAGTAGTCATAATTAATTAAAACTAAGTGTCTATTACTGGTAACATTAATAACAGAAAATGCCTAATTTCATATCATCAAACGAATAAATTCCCAAACACAATAAACAAATTATCCTCTAAAAAAGATGTTTAAAAAAAGCGGTGAAAAAAACAATGTAATACCTCCGAGAAAGCTCGATGATTCTAGACCTCTTTATATGAGAAGTATCGAGACATCCGAAGACGGCAAGTATGCCACACATGATGATGGCGGCTTCTTTCTCTCACTTACTTTCTCTCTCTAGCTTTCTCTCTCTTATTACTCTGCTATTTCATTTATTACCAATACTAAGTCAGAAAAAATGAAGGTAGTCTGATGCAAAAATGGTGCAGGATATATAACCGCGCCAATCGGAGCCGTTGATGATTACTGGAATCACAAAGATTCTACTTTTTTTATTTTTGGTCTAAAACTAGGGTTTTGCCTTTTTGGCAACTCTAATTTCTTAATTTTAGTGGGACCTTTTTTCGCTAAAAAAAGGCAATTGGGATGAGGAGAGGATTTAGATTCTGTCTCCACTATTGTCTTTATTTGGTGAATAGTGAGCGGCTGAGCGCCCCTTAACCTTGACCATTGCTAATGGTTATGGCTTTGTGGAGAATTTTGCCTAGCCACTCTAATTCTTCGGGGTATTTGGTAGGAGGAAATTGTAAAGTAATCTCGTCCTCAAATACTTTTATTTAGAAAGATTTGAAGTTAAATTTTTTTTTAAAAAAAAATGAGATAATAAGTCTTATCAAGTGAGTCAAGTCTTACTTGGTTTGAAAAATCTTTCTTATTTATAACCTCTTTTAGCTTCAAACTAACGTATCATAACAATGGTTATATTAATTATGGTTTTAAAAAATTATCTATCTATTTATTAATATTTGATGAGAATAAGTAAGTTAATCAAGTGGTTTTCTTTTGAGAAATCAATGGAGCTTACCAAAAAAACATATTCAAGTTGGTCATATTTTGACATAGTCTTAATAAAATCCTTGGTGATATCAATTGGTTTAAGAGATCGAGCACAAGCCTATGTTAGTTCCATCTCATTTTAGCTTTTAAATTGTTTTTTTTTTTTTTTTTGGTATTTTTTAAAGTTTCTAAAGTTTACATTTAACCATCTAAATTAAATAGTTTTGTAGGTTATTTATCGTAGATTTCCAAAAAAATTACATAACCATTAATAGAAATTTGTCATCAAAGTGAGTCAAAACAAAAACATTTTTGAGTGAACGCCCAATATATTCCAGCAACTCAATATTAGATTAGCTTTATATTGCTTGGATTGATGACTATTGACTCGATGAGAGTCTAAAAATGCATGGGTTGTCATAATAATTCAAGTTGATTTTCAAGAATGATATTCACAAATCACGAATTTACGATCCACTTAACTGTTGTATATCACATTGGGGCAATAGTAAAATCACATTAGGTCTCATCAAATAACATAGTGATCTGATTCATATCATAATGAAATTTTTTAAGATAGACCCAAAATCTATTTAGAAATGAATAATCCCCTTCTTTATTAAGGTGCGATCATATTTAATTTTGTAGCAATTCATTATTTCACTTCATCATTTGATCAGATAAAATGACGGTCTAACTCCATAAATCCATGATACTTGTAATAAAAAAGTGTAAATCGAATGACATAATTATAATTAAATCAACAACTTTTCATTAAATGTCTTAAGTTAGGCCCTATTCACTTCACCTTAAAAAAAACATTGAGTAAAAATAATTTCAATTCAGTAAAAATAATTTCAATTCAGTAAAAATAAGTTCAGTTTAGCAAAAATAATTTCAGTTCAGCAAAAATCAATAACTTTAAAGAAGAAATATAAAAGAGAATCAGTAAAAATAATTTTAGTTCAGCAAAAATAATTTCAATTCAGTAAAAATAATTTAAGTTCAGCAAATAGGGATGTCAATGGGGCGGGTCGGGGCGGATGTTGGTTTTCCCATCCCTATCCCCACCTAAAATTTTCATCCCCATCTCTATCCCCATCCCCGCCCCAACGGATACAATTTCAAAACCATCCCCGCCTCACCCCTTCTTTGGTAAGGCGGGTATGAAGTGGGGCAGGGCGGGATGGGGTGGGTATAATTTAAAATCCACCCCTGCCCCATCACCCATGGCGAGTATGGTTTTCATCCCCATCCCCATCCCCGCCCCACCACCCACCAAACCGAGACCCATCCCCGCCTTATTGGAGTGGGGATGGAGCGGGTCTCCTACTTGACCTACCCCACTGACATCCCTATCAGCAAAACTAATTTAAATTCAATAAAAATAATTTTAGTTTATTAATAATAAAATGGAGTCAACCGCACTTCCGAACAAGCGGGGCCTTGCCCTTGGAATCCTTATTAAGACCTCCAATAACTTTAGCCTAATTTGGTCGTGCTCCAAATCTATATTGCCTTTACTTTACTTTACTTTACCCACTACAACTACAACTATTGAAGGCAAAAATACGAAAGCGTACACCATCGGCACCCAATCGCATCAATTCTGAAATCCCAGGACTTGGTGCGGGTGGCCCTCAGATGGAATCCACCAAAGAAAACACCTTCAAAACGGCAACCGCTAGAGAAGAGAGAGAAAGCTCTGAGAATAAAATATGGATTTTCTCTGCTTTGCTCACTCTCCAGTATGGTTCTCAGCCTTTGATCTCCAAGCGCTTTACCGGGTTTCTCTCTCCTCCTTTATTATGATTATTATTATTATTATTATTATTATTATTATTATTATTATTATTATTATTATTATTATTATTATTATTATTATTATTATTATTATTATTATTATTATTATTATTATTATTATTATTATTATTATTTTTATTTTGAGTTTTCTTCAATTTGAAGCTGCGTAATTATTGATTTTACATACATGTTCTTTGATTTTTTGATGTTGTTTTAGTATATATTTTAATTACATACTGTCTTCTTCTTTGGATATTTTTTTTTGCAATTAATGGTAATTGGGGCTGAATTAATAACTTGGAATTTTATTTTGGTTCAAATAATTACCTAATTGTGCCACATGTTAGAACCAGTTGAATGAAGTTGGTTGAATTACAAACATATATAATTGGTTTTGGAAATAATCATATGTGGTACTCTGTCATTAGGTTTCTTGTTCATTTTTTTGATAATTTCCCTTCCTCCAATTGTATGGCCCTATTTGGTACAATGTACTATTTGATTTGTGCAATATAGTTGGTAGAAAATAATCCACATGATTTTAAATTGTGGAATATATATTAGGAAAATAACGAGGTGGACTACTAGTTCCAATTTGAAGGAGGGGGAAATTGACTAACATATAAGATCGGTGGGCCACTCTACCTATCACCAATTGGTTCAAGGATGGATCCTGTGATGTGGTCGGAATCTCCTGTGATGTGGGCTTGTACTCGGTCTAGTGAATTGTTTCAATAGCCCATTGTAGCCCTTAATATTAATCAGGGAAAAAAAAAAAAGTCTTCAGGCTAACTCATCTTGACTAAGTTTTTCACTTAGGATAATGGATGGTACCATTACTACATACTTGGCTGCTGTCTTATATTCTACTTTGTCAGTTTGATATTGGTGAATTTAGCTTATATACATGATGTTCTTAAACCAAATCTATGCGAGTTTGGTGCAAAATGTGCTTCAACTTTATCAGTCCTACAAGGGCTTCATTTTAAAGTCGAACACCCTTGTATGTTTAATAGTATAATACTGAAGTATTGTCACCATCACAGTTAGACATGTGATTGAGACATATAATGTTGGAAAAACTTTGAAGTTGGGGGTGGTTGGGTCTGGTTCTATTTGGTGTTAATTACAGAGTTGATCATAAGCCTATAGCTAAAATTATGACCTGGCATTTTGTCAAATAGCACCAAACCATGATTTTCACATTTCCTTTTGTTATTTGTATAATCATCTTAGACCATAGAAGTTTTACTAATCAAAACTCAAAAGACTCAATACTCGGCTCCTCATATTCCCAAATTCATACTTGAGATTCTATAGCTAAACGAACAAAACAATATACTCTTCCTCCAATCTTGCGTTGTGGGCTATGAGGATCCCGCAAGATTGGAGGAAGAGCACCTTGGTCCTGGTTTATAAAAACAAAGGAGACGCTCAAGATTGTCCTAATTATCGAGGGATCAAGCTTATGAGCCACACTATGAAGTTGTGGGAAAGAGTGATTGAACATAGGTTGAGGGCATGCACAAGCATTTCAGATAACCAATTTGGTTTTATGCCTGGGAGATCTACTATGGAAGCAATCCATTTGATAAGACAAATGATGGAGTTTTATCGGATAAAGAAGAAGGATCTTTATATGGTTTTTATTGATTTGGAGAATGCATATGACAAGATTCCAAAAGAGGTACTTTGGTGGGCAATGTTGAAGAAAGGTATCCTATCGGGATGTGTCAACAAATGTGAGGATATGTGGAGGGTTGACAAAAGATTTCCTTATTACACTTGGATTGCATCAAGGGTCTGCATTGAGTCTTTTTCTTTTTGCAAAGGTTCTAGATGAAGTAACTAGACCAATTCAAGATGAGGTTCCATGGTGTATGTTGTTTGCCGATGATGTCGTTTTGGTGGATGAAACTAAAGATGGGGTTAATGCCAAGTTGGAGCAATGGAGGCAAAGGTTGGAATGTAGAGAGTTTAAGCTAAGTCGGAGTAAGATTGAATATTTGGTATGTCGCTTTGATACTCGAAGGGGGACAAGTGATGGAGTGGTGAGTTTGGATGGAAAGGAATTGACCATGAGTGAATGTTTTAAGTATCTCGGGTCGATCATCCAGAAAAATGGCGACATTGATCAAGACATGGCCCACAGGATTAAGTCGGGGTGGCTTAAATGGAGAGCGGCCACGGGAGTGTTATGTGACCGAAGCATTCGCTTACAGTTGGAGGGAAAATTCTACAAGACTGCCATTAGACCAGTGTTGCTAATGTTGGGCTTCTAACAATGAGCACATTAAAAAGATGGAGGTTACAGAAATGCGCATGTTAAGGTGGATGTGCGAGAACACTCTAAGAGATAGAATCAGAAATGAGGTTATTCACAAAAAAGTAGGTACGACAGGCATTGCGGACAAACTAAGGGAAAATAGCCTGTGTTGGTTTGGGCATGTAAGACGGAGATCCGAGTGTGCACCGGTTCGAAGAGTGGAAGAGTAGGACCATGGAGGGGTTAAACGAGGGAGAGGGAGACCGATAATGACTTGGTTGGAAGGAGCTAGGAAGGATATGAAATATATGGATTTGCATGAGGATGAAGCATTGGATCGTAAGGGATGGAGGAGGAAGATTTTTGTGGATGACTAGATGCTTGATTCGCTAAAGCAATCGAGCAGCGGTAGATTACAGCCAACACAGCACAGTAAGAAAAGACAACGAGCTCAAGAGAAGGGAAAGAGAGACCTT